AAAAAGAGAGTGTAGGAAACCCAGACATAATAAAAACAAACAGAACTGGGCCATTTGTGTGGCAGCCATGCTGAAGGCTGAATGATGACTCCAGGAGCTGAAAACCCCTAAGTGTGGATTAGGGAAAAAAATGCTCTCTCTGAATTAAAACAGCAAATCAAAAGAATCAGCAAGAGATCAACAGCCTGAATCAGATACAGATTAGGGTTAGTTCCTGGGGGACAATGTCCTGCCCCTCTTTAGATCATTTTTCAACTGTTCTTCTCTCTCAGAGAGGCCTGGAAAGTGTTTCTCCTTTATTGGGCTTTCAGATATTTTATGAATTCTATTCAGAGAGGGTAAAAACATCCCACATAACATATTAGTCACCAGGCTTTCCCCATCTCAAGACTTTCTGCTCACGTCTCAGCTCACAGCTATTTCAAAGCATTTCTGGGATTGGGAAAAAACCCAAAACATAAAAGCCTTGGCCTCTTTATATGCACAAAGTTATTTTCTGTGTGCTTCTCAAGCTACCAAAGACCCGTGCAAGCCTTCTCTCTCACACATATATACATGCACGTACACTCTCTCTCTCTAGTACTTAGCAATGCTTTTTGGACATAAAAGGCTTTAGCAATTTTCTTATCTCCCTCAAAATTCCTCTAAGAGAAAAGAACATTTTCCTTCTGACTCTTTAAACTCCATTCTCATGGCAGTATCCTCAAATTATCAGCCAGAAAGTTAAATTGCAGCTAAATGCAAATTTTCTGAATCCTTTGCCTTTGTTCTTTGTGCTTACGGTAGAAGATGGGTAAACTACTGTGATCATAGACGTCCTTCTGACTAATCCCAGCTCATTAAGAAAACCTATGCAATTGCCAACAGAATGGTTAAACCATGTGGACCTCATGGAAAAGAAGTTCTATCGGCTTAAAACAGGTTTAAAATAGGAGCTTTTCTAACTTCTGAGGGGTTTAGGAAAACATTTGCAGCATGAGACCACAAAGGAATAGTTTTTTTTTCCCCAGGAATACTCAGTGCCATACCTGGGGAGCTGTTTTCTCAGCTGACTCTGCTGTCTCTAGGTATCACAAAACACTAACGCAACTAAACAATTTGTGAAGGCTTAAATCCCTAAGATAAGTGGAAAAAAACCCAACTACCTCATGTACAGTCACAGGAGACATGCATTTTCTATCTCACTTTATACTCTGTATGTTATTATTAAATAACAAAACCAAATTAGTAACAATCTTGAAGTTCCCTACCCTGTTATTTGATGATTAAAACCATTACTTTAGCTTTGCATTTAGGTGGGCATTAGCCTGTTACTGCTTGTATTTAAACAGGGATTTCAGATTAGACAGTGAAATATGTCAAAAGGGGAAACTGTTTTTAAAAAGTGCTAATCCTCTCAGATTTTCAGCATGTGACTTAGAAGTATAAAGCAAGTTGTATGCTTGGTGGTTTTTAGGTTTAATCTACTTTCAGAATGTTCATCATTACTTAAACAAAAAAATATATTAGTCCATATCTAGGAAGCTTCTGTTAATCCTGAACTCTTGACCTAGAGGTGCAGGGCCAAATTGTTTCATGCTTCATCTGTCTGTTCACTGACTACTTGTTTCAGATATTAATCCAGTAAAAAATATGTGGAGAATTCAAATAACCTTTCCTGCTTATTAAATACATGCTTCTAGTTGGCAGTACTTATATTGTATTTTGTGTGAACAGCAAACATCAAACAGTGCTTATCATTGGGAAATTAATTCCTTCCCTGTCCAGTGCGTGCCACTCTCCCCAGTCTTAGTGTAAAGCCACATATAAAACATGTTGGTATCAATTAATTTAATAGGTCTTTTTGAACCCACTTGTGTGTTAACTGTTCCCTAATTTCAAAGAGGTGCAAGTTTTTAATCTTGAATACTCAGGGCTAGATACCCACCACATCAGAACATGGTGGCAAGTACCCTTGACATGAGAGGAAACGAGAAAATTACAGCAACAATTACAGAAGTATATCCTCCTGTGGCTCATGTTAACATTGCCAAATCCATGTATAAATCAGTACCAACAATTCATAGAATGTACCTGTCAGCAATATACTATGCGACATATGGCTCTACTTAATCAAATATACAATTCCATTTTTTCAACTCAGAATATTCCTTCAAGGCACAGAGTAGTCAGTCAGTCAGTCACACTGTGATGTGGTTTAAAACATTTAAATATTTATGCACCATATTTTATTTATATGTATAGCTATGTCTGAGGGAACTTTTTTTTCCACTCTAAGAGGAAACTGACCTTTCTGAAGGCCATTTTGCAGTAGTTGCCACACATGTCTTAGATGAGGGACTAGTACTAAGTCAGAAATATTTTGGGTTTAAACAGTCTACCAAGGACTCTCTTATACTGTCTATGTTTGTTTTTTATTAAAAGCATTGTTGAAAATATGACAAAAAACAGAAATTGGAGCTACAAAGATTTTTGTTCACATTGATATTTGAGCCAGCTGTAAAGATTTAAATCACACTAGATCTTGTTTTATGAATGTCCTTCTGCAACAAGAAAACCATGGAATGCCCTTAAAAAAGAATTTTTTTTATATAAACCAGATGTTTTATCCTTTTTTGGGGGCTTTGTTATTGTAGTGCCATGATAGGTAATTAATTCCCAGGCTCCACATAGGTCTTCAGGCAGATGAAGAGAATGATTTGATTTCAAGGCTATAGTGGAGTAAGAGAATTACAGGCCTTCGAGGGGTCATTGCAGCAGCAAGGTTTCTTACAGTAGGATTGGCTTCAATCATTAATGCTGCTTGCACAGAATGTAATGTGAAACTAGCGTTGAACTTCAATAAGGATAGAAGTAGTAGCTGGAAACAATATGCTCTACCACTCAGACTGAGCTGTGCTTACATGTCATGCATCACTCACCTTTTCATAAATTAACACAGTAATATGCATTTCAAGACCAAGATTCTGATTGTTCTGATATAAATCCACGTAGTTTCACTGAAACTCAAACAGTTCTGGCTACATATAGTATCATCATCTCCTAATCCTTATTGCTATAATGGAACTCATATGTATTAGTGAAAAACACTTCTAGTGTAAATTAAAAGTTTTTCCATCTTGGAGTATTTTCAATGAATGCAGTTGGTATTCTACTTTGCTGCTAAATTAATCACAATAACTACATTATTTCTCACTATTGTATTTGCATACCTGCTGCCAAGCCTGAATTGCTGTATTTAGAGAATGAAGTGCATATTGGCCAAAGTTGATGAAAATGGGGTCCACCATTATCGTGCAGTCCAATAGCCTTCCCACTCCACTGCTGGAAATAGCAATCTGCCCCCAGATTTTGAAAGGTTTCACAACACTCTGCATAGTCACATTTCGGCACTCCAAAAGTTTGCAATTGGCTTGAGTTGAAAACTGGATCTCCTGGAACACTGACTCATCGCTCCACTGACGAAGATATACATGGGGCTCATCAAAGGAAATGATCATGTATTCTAGTTCAGATGGCATGTTTTTATCAGATAAAAACAGCTGAAGAAACTTTGGTGGTGCTGAAAAGTAAAAGAACAAACATGACTAGAACATCACCATTGCGACATTCTGCATGTTTTTGCAAAGTGTTTTTTAACTGCTCGTACATATGATGAAAACAAGTAAAATTCATAAAAGATATGACATTTCTGAAATCTGAAATTAATCCTGTTCACACTGTTTATTAGATGTAAAAAAGAACTATAATTAGTAGCAGTTACAAACAAAAAGTATCTGCAAACCAAAATATTTTCACGGTAAAGATACCAGACAGCCAAACTGCTTTATCTACACACTGCACAATACTTCACATTACCACCTATTTGAAGCAGGGACCATATTTCTACGAGAATTTTTGCTGTAGTACACGTATATGATGTTCCGCACACAGCACACTATGAATAAAATAAAAATTAGCAGGATAATATTTGCTAACATGTGACTGTGCAAGCTAACGGGCTCCATAATGAAAATTGTCTTTGCTGTGATCACAGAGTATTCAAGACCAAGAACCCACTGAGACGTGACATATTAACCATAATACTAGAAATAAAGCAAAACAGTACATTGAGACAAAAGCATGAGAAATATATAATAAAAAAGAAGTTATCACGTTCACCAGAGTCTCAGTCCTGCAATGGGCTGAACGCTGTGACAGCAGACACTGCAAGGCACGTACACTGCTTGTGTAACATTAAGCATGTGAGTGTTTCCATTGATGTTGTTATTTATTCTGCTGGAACTACTCACATGCTTAAAATTAGCATATGCTCAAGTGCTCTACAGATCTGGAACCAAAACACTCATCAGTTTCTAGGATCAAGCCCCATCACTCTACAAAAGCATAAAAGATACGGTAAGTTTTGTGCTCCCTTCGTGTATAACATACACACAGAATCACACACAGAAATCGCTCGGTTGGAAAAGACCTCCGAGAT